ACTGAACCTTGGATCGGTGGGTCCCCTCCCAAATGCTCATCGACTGACTTTCCATCAACGAAAATAGCTTTTTATACACGGACGGGTAAGGTGATATATTCACATAAAACAACCAATTTTCTGCCTGCCCTCGGTCATGGGCAAAGTGGTATGTTCAGGCGAAAAATTCACATAAAACAACGAATTTTCTGCCTGTCCTCGGTCATGGGCAAGGTGATATGTTTAGTCGAAAAATTCACATAAAACAACGATTTTTTTGCCTGTCCTCGGTAATGAGCAACGTGATATGTTCAGGCGAAAAATTCACATAAAACAACGATTTTTTGCCTGTCCTCGGTCATGGCGTTAAGCTCAATCATAATTTAAGAGTGACAGAAAACTAAAATTCAGACTTCGAATATACCCAAACTATAACATTTTGCATTCAAATACTTGATCAGAATTGTAGTTGAAAGAATGTACGTGTTGAATGGTCGATGGAAGGCGACTTTAGAAAGTCACAAAGCAGGCATGACGTAAATCATCAACATTTGGGATTCCTGAAATAAACAATACTTGTACTGCAGATATTAATAGTTACAGACTGACGTTTCTTATACTAGTAATTGCCATTTTGTGTCCATTATTTGCGAGAATTGACATACCTAAAATTGATTTTAATCCAAGTCTGCTATCTCAGAACGGTTAGGATTCGCCCTTTAAATTTACCCTGCCCATCGCATACCATCACTCGAAGATGCAACCTCTGTCAGTTATGTCAAAACTGTCGCCTCGTTATTAAAAAAAAACACCTTGACAGACGCAGTCACGTGATGACGATGGTGACGACCCTTCCTATACTAAGTCTACGAGTAACCATACACAAGCGACTGACATATATATGTGTGTATTAGAATAAGGCGTTACTGTATGCTAGGCGGTGCTGTCGTGTTCTTTGAAAAAGCCCTAATCGCTAGAAGAAGTGGCAGGTTATTTGTATATCGCCAAGTATTTTTGACTTCTAGGTAGACATAACAAATCCCCTTGCTCATATTTCGTGTGATAAGTCGATTATCCTGATATCAATAATTCCAAAATAGTATTAATATTATTTTATTAAAATGACCGCCGCTCTCCCAAGTAAGACTTTTAACAATGGAACGATAATTTTACTTTGAACCAACATCTCCCAAAAGAAATATTATTTGGTAGCCTAAAGTTGAACGGCGAAAATTGATTGGAGCGCCGGATTAATAAGCATTCGATCTTTAAAGATTAAACTTGGAACTTAACAGAATAATAGCCGACATATAACAAATTCAAAACGTGTTGTACCCTTGTATTTATGTTTGACAATGTATATCATATAACCCCAGTGAGTAGTTTCATTGATTCACCGGAAAAAAGACGGAAATTGCTGTTATTGTAGACTTCATGATTCATACGCACGTGTCAAAGGTCATGTGACCCAATAGATGCTGACGGAGCGTGCTTGTATTGGACTGATAGCTAGACGAATTTCTCTATATTTTAGTCACGTGTCTTAATGCTTAATTTTTATCTAGTGTGTACACACAATTTTAACAATTAAACTCTATTGTTTAAAAACGAAAATATTGCCCCCCCCCCCTCTTCCCGCATGTCTCGTGCACTGCGGATGAAGCGTTCCGGGGATTCTATTGTGACGGATGAAGTGCGAGCGCTTGTACTGGAAATGAGCTCTTCACTGGACCAACGTGTAATGGTTGTAACTCCATCAATCCGTTGTTTGTCAACGAAATATGCCAATATGTGATACTATAGTGGGTCCCAATTGGCCGGGATGTTCATTATGGACCGCCGCTCTGCAACCCGCGTGCGCCGGATTCGAGCCAGTCTTTTTTTTCTTAGCATTTAGGTTTTATGGTTCCCCAAGGTACTTGGATTGTTGGATGTAAAATTGATTTCCCCACGGCGATATTGAACTTCAGCCAAAACGGCACAAAGAGATTTAAAAGACTATTTAAATCCCTTGTCTTTCGCCATCAATGAATTCTTTGCAATATTAAACACACGCAGCAAATATGATGATAGGCTGAATGACCAAAGGCAATTCCCCATTAAACGGGGGCAAATCGCAATGCGAGATATTCTAGTTAGGCAGGTTTAAGGTGATATGCGTTCTACGAGTACGGAGCTGATTGATCACCACTTTGCGAGATCTAATTTTATTAAAGGTTCTGCTGTGTAGCCACATTGAACAATTTAATTAGAGCACATGGCCAAATGCTTTCTGGGCGAGATATACGAGAACTAGCGATTTAAAGCGGCCAACGTACAACATTCTCGCGTCGATAAAATTTGATATACGAAGTCGCGGACTGGTAATAATGATGATGATGATGACGAAGTCCCGCCATGTAGTTTTGTATAACTGTGTCCGGGCGAGTGGCCGAGTGCTCTTCAATATTCTCGTGAACACGTATTGTTGTAACAAGTGGACGCGCTCTGCTACTTATATCAACATGTACCGAAATGGTAGAAATCCAAAAATGCACATAATTCAACGTTTGTTGAATTCAAATTGATTATAATAAACTAAGATAAAATAAACTCAATGTAAAATTATTGACTGAAATAATTCACTCCGTAGAGTGGAATGAAATAAATGTGAAATTTGACCTTAGATATAGTATAGTATCAGCTTTTTTACAGCATATATATTTCAGAAAGGCGATTCTATTAGTTTTAGACAGTCCCTGTGATAAACATGCCGTTTGTTGGGCTCATTTTATTCGTGTCGTTTTCATGAATCGACCGAATTTAGGCATTTAGTGTTGCTCCTGATTAACTGTCATCCTGGGTAATTTATGTTGTCCAAAAGTTATCTTCAAGGTGTTTAATTTAAAGAACAAAAACGCGCATTGGATGCCCGTCGATAGAGACAGCGATATATGTCATTGCTAATTGGAGCAATAGTTTCCGAGAAAATGATATTCGTATCATTGTTCCCATATTATTTGTAACGTTCAAGACCTGTAGACATGATTAGCATTCGTGTTCCTTTGTGCATAATTAAACATGTAAATTACATAAAAATGTGTAAAACATTGCTCCAAAATATTGTATTCAAAATGATAAGCCAGAAAACTATCACGATGCGTAACAGACTCGGAAAAGCCTAGACAAATGCGCAAACTTAATTGAGTTTGTAGAAAAATCCATCTGACCTAAGATACTATAGTTACTCTATAATCATGGGTGAAGTCATGTAATCACGAGTTGGTGTCTCTTGGACACCACTAATCCTGGCGATGGTCACGTGTCAATTCGGAGGTAAATAGATACCGACTTAAACTTGTTCAACGTTTTCACAGAACGCTTCGTGTTAATTAATACCAAATCTGAGAAAATATTCAGGTTACACACATTTTTGAATGTCCTGGGAAGTGTACTATTTGCTTATCGCCGTGTTTTGAATCCACACACCAGTAAACACGTGTAATTCTCTCATGATAATTTAAGTTTACAGATGATGGGTAAAATGAACGTAATGCTACTTCGCCGTCTATCGTCCTAAACACGCATAGGCCTGTGACATTATTTCACAAATTCGTGGATTTGTTTCCTAAATGCAAAGTAAATACAATTATAATACTGAAAAAAAACACCCATTATTCGAATTTAACGGACTCTTATATCAGATAAAAACGAACCTCCACAATTTCTCCGCGACGGAAAACACCGTGACTGAAAAAGCAGATCATGCGTACCAGGTTGTACGGTATATTTTGCTCGCCTATGCTGTAATCAGGATGCCCCGGAACCCTGACTGTTGTGAGAGGCATAATGCATCGGCGAGTAGCCTTCAAAGATCAGTTTGTTTATTAATATCTGCCGAAAGACTAGTTTTGAAAAGGTCACGTAAGCCTGGCAGGGTAACAAATAGGTAAACACTCAGAAATGGCTCTAAGAAACTTGAAATTCCAAAGACTGGAATTAAAGTTTTTTTTATTTATGACGTCACGACGGTATCCGTGAAGTGTTTGGCTTTCAGACTCAACTCTGCACAGCGCCGTTAAACTGACAACAAAGATTTTTTTTTTAAAAGTATGCTGTAAAACGTGGAATTAATGATGCAGACATACCTAAAGTGAAAAGACAGAAGTGCATCAGAGAATTTAAAAGACTTTGATTGCCATGGCAACCACTGTCATACGCAAGGTCGGGAAATGAAGAGGTACAACGAAACCTTATAGTGATACAAAGATTGAATGATGTCAAAATATCGAGTCAGTGTTGTGGGGGGGGGGGGGCTCTTAGCCGGCCATTAACGCTGATTAATGTTGAGTGCTTCTGTGTTATCAACAACACGTCGCAGAGTGCAGAGCGGAGTTTGCAAGGCACTGTGCAAAACTAGTAAAATCCAATTGATTAGTTAGTGCGCTCACAAATACCATTCTAATCAGCGGAGTAAATGTGAAGCTCAGGTGGAACGAAGACGGTTTAATTTTTTAGCGAGCTTGCATCCTCCGACATGCTTCGGTTGTTATCATCAATATAACGCGCGGACATTGTCGCGTTCGCATTCTTTTGTGATTGGCTTTTTTATCCCTCACTTCAAGCACCATTGTACTAATGAAAATTGCTGGCCGGCATCCAAACTGCCCCTCCTTTAATTAGTAAAAAACACTTTCCGATTTCTCCCCCTCCGATTGACGCAATGTCGATGTCAGAACATTGCCAGGAGAGATAGCATGGTTGATCACTGTCTGCGCATGGCGTGACCCCAGCGCCACATTTCAACTATGACAACATTATTAAACCAATTCGATTGCGTTTATCATTTCAATTACTCGGGATATTTATAGTTTTCTATTTTTCTCCCGATTGAAAGAATGAATGTCTTGGAGTTGTGATTAAATTGACTACAGAAGGAATTGAAATCATTATTAATTCCGTCTTTTGTCCCCAATTTCCTTATTAGTCTTGCTTCGCGTTAGTCGCGCTCCCATTCTTCGACTCGAGAACGACGAGAATAACCACGGCCTTTGAAATCCGTCTTGGCAAGCGGATTTTTCCGGAAACTGGATATATTTAGCAGACGTTTTAACGAAAACTGTATGTTTCAAGCATGAATGTACAAAACATTCGTTTGTGGGACGATTTTTGCTGACTTCGTTAAAATAACGTTGGAAGGAATTGTGTCCGTTGGTCTCCGTGATGAACTACTTCATGATCGTTCGACCGATCAGGCGTCACCGAGTCCCTTTGCTACAGGTAGGAAGGACACACATTATTATGACATGGACATATCAGTAACAATTCCACTGTGGTGGCACTCTAGTCTTTTTGTTTTGTTTTGTTCAATAAAAGGTGTCGACCAATTATCGTCCAATTTTAGAACACATACACAAGACACCTTTGCATTAAGGCAGAACGCATGGCTACACAAAAGTAACTATATACATGTATATATATATTTTTTTTTTATTTACAAATTTGATATATCATATAGGGTCACCGTTCTCTATTTGGAAAAAAAAATCGATGCTTTAGGACATTTTACCATCCAAGTGTTATACTATGGCAAGGATATACCCATATATCTCAAATTTTCGCTCGGCGTGAAAAATATACATATATATAGTCTTAAAAAGAAAAAAACAGATTGACAGTACATCAACAATGTTCACATATTCTTGACTATATAGTATTAAAACGATCAATGTAGACAGACTTAGAAAAAAGATGTTGCCAATGGTAGATATGTGGTTGAATACTACATCAGTATAATACGACGTGTTATTGTAAACAACATATCACCATGTATGGTACAAACATATCATTTAAGTAATTTGACACATTTTTATAGAAATACTACTATTTTATGTACTTGATTTCGAATAACACACTGTTCTGTGTTCAATTATTATGACCGTTTTGTCCAACCGTTGTTACGTGGATTGCGGCATCATTGTGGACTAACGAGCGTCTTTCAATGCGAGTTTGGTGGCATGCATTTAGTCTAGGGGTGCGGTACTCTGCGAAATATGTGAAAAAAAGCGTTTAACTCCTCGAATTCATTTCCTTGAATGTTCCAGCAAGAACACAGAATTGTACGAGCCATTGTATTTCAAATTGTTTCATTACAGGTTTAGTTCACGGGTATGCGGGAAGATGTTATTACATGTCCCAGGACAACGTACTGTTCCGTGATACATTCGCTTTCATCTCGATGTGACACGGGATCCTTCTCAGGCTGCTGTATACGTGGAACAAGACAACGTTGTGAAGGCACCGAGATCTGTCGCACAACGTACGTAAACTACTACGCTGAAAAACTACTGAAGTCAACAGGCGTTTACCCATGATAACTCCAGTTTTTTTTAAACAAAGCACAATTATTCAGGTCATGGGAGAAATAAATTAACAAATTGGAATAACTTTGAATTAACATGACGACGTTGTGGGTTGCTAGTGACTAGGACACCATGACGAAACAACATCGCAGGCTGTGAGCGGTAGTGTCTAAGCGCGGCGGCATAATTGTTACCGACCATCTTTACCGTCGCTCTTCCCGTAATCTTTGTATGCAATATTTGTTTTTATAATTCCTTCTGTCGGAATATACTTCTCTTCTGAGTACTGATTAGTATGCCCTTTGGAAAAGACGGGAAAAGCAAACAAAAGACGAAGGAATGTTTTATTCAGCAGAACCAGTGTACTGCGTGTTTCCTGAAGATAAAATATTCCATAATAGAACAATCAGGAAAACCTACTTTCTGTATGTTCCCTGTCTCTCTTCTTACTGTTAGAAGTGACATGAATTACCCAATGTTTTTTTTATGTAAAACGCGAGTGCAAATTCCCGTCAGGTGATTTATTTTGACATTTAAAGATCGCCGACTAAAATAAAATCATGGACAACAGCAGCATTTCAATTTCATCTTTTAGATAACTATTCGATTCAGTCAGTTCTGTGTTTCCAAACAAGCGAAGTTGTCAAACGAGTGGAACGCCCAACTGTCTCATACATAACTCGATGCACAATGTTTTTTTTAATTTAAATATCACTGCGAGTAGTATTACCTTGATTTCCTATGGGAGTCGACAACGATCAGAAGAGCCCACAAAACAAACACTTTAACAAATTAATTTAAAATGACAAAGTAACGTAAAAGTTAATAAGATGGCGACTTTATTTGGGGCGTCTTAACTGTTTTTTTCCCTTCTGTTTTTGCTTCTTAATTCGACAAGAGTACCCTTTCTCTCCCGGGCGTAGTCGTTCCCGGGACGTAAGAACACATCACATGTTTGTGGGCCAGCAATCCACACGAGAAACAGTATTGAAATTATAAATTCGGTTCATGTATGAAAAAAACACACATTGGTCGCATACACTCTTTGGGTTTGAACAATTACGGTGAAAGATCATACACAGAGGGGGCGCCCGTCTCTGTCACGATAGAATTGCGGATACTCACGAGTCTAGGTCGGGGATTGGCACACATCAACCATTAAACATATAAATAGACATTTCAAAATTGTGGGCGATGATGTAAGCGTAACCAATATCATCGTTTTAAAAGATAAACTATCGTTACTCAAACCAAGAAGACATATCAGATACAAGATTAAAGTACCATAGCAAGATGGTTACGGTTTGAAAGAGGGCGGCTGACCACCGTGAAGCAGTCCTTTTTTGCGGACCCGCCCCTCCTCAACGCTGCCACTGTTGTTTTGACTTAATGGTTGACAGTATAGATGTGAACAACTCCGAGTCGTTATTAATATTATGTTTACCCATCCTCTCAACACGTTATCATTACGCAATCTCTAAAATCATGATGAGTATTTATATTTCGAGTTCGATCTGATAAATTATAGTGCAAAACACGTGACTTTTGAAAAAATATTCTCAATGGATACTAGATTCTAACGATAATCAGAACCGTGTCTCTTGAAATAGTATATCCTGAACAAAGCAAAAAGGGCCCAGGAATAAATACAAATTTCTATCGGAAATCTACTAAAAACAATCTGTCTTTGGCCAGCGCTAACCGAGCATAAAAGTGGACACTCAGAAGGGCTCGCAATACGGTACTAATACCCAAGTTAAAACACCATAAAAGTGAAAACGACATCCCATTATCCTTCATTAAAATACGGAAAATTACAAAGTTGCTTCAATCCCCCGTCAGTCGAGCGAGTGATCGAAGCGTCAACATTGAAGCAGTCCGTTAAACTGCTGGGTTAATGAAGTGTCATCCGTGGACGTCATTGATTTTGGCGGGCACTGCACGCTGTTAAAGGCCCAGGTATACTATAAATACGCTCTTAAACAATAGGGATTATTTCCTTGCTTGTCACACTGTAGTAAACAGCTCCAGCCAAGCTCCGGTAAAAACGCGTTTTCTCTAACTTACAGGTCGATTATGTCGTGCCAAAGTGGATATATGTTACTATGAATATCACAGCAGTGACTGTGTGTAGTATTTATTACAATAAATAGTGTACGAGTTGAGATTTTGGCGGATAAAAGTAAAAAACAGGAACTGGGGAAAGGGACGCGCTACTAATCTTGAATAATTAACTGCTGTCAATCAAAGTCACGTTATGTTGGACTGCTGAAACAGGATGTGTCATAGGCTACGTAAGTGATTAACAACACTCATTAGCATAGTCACACCTCCAATTTACACTTGCCCGGGGCAAGTGAATTGGGCCTTTAACAAGCCGCATTGTACGTTACCCATCATGCATTATTGCCCAACAATAACAAATCTGTTGCAAATAAAACCAAATTTGTTTTTATAATTGCCCTCTCCCGTCCTGTCAGTCCTGACTAAGACACCAAATCGCAACGGCCTTGAAGCATGGTTTATCTCCCTTCTTCAATGGTAGACATATACGCAATTCCAACAGGCAGTACATTAGAAGCTCAGAAACAAATTTGTATTTGGCGATTGCATAGGAAGATATACTCTACGTGAGAACAATTGTAATAGAGCGGAAAGTGGACTGACACGGCTATGAATAAATCTATCCACAATGGCAAGCTGTGTCTACGCATGCGCAGATCAGCAATGAATATGAAATGGCGTTCGTTGAGTGGGGGAACACGGGTGCCATCTGCTCTGTCTTTCGTCAATAATTGCGATGAAAATTACACCTTCGTGTGGCTCTCTTTATTCCAAATGGATGTCCTGGAAAATTACTGCGGCATACTGAATTTCTACTGAAACGTTTGGAGGTTCATTGGTGTCGGTCGTGTCATCGTGCCATGATTGTGTATGACAGGTCAAACACGCACAGTTCCGAATTTACCGTGACGCACTTTTCGTTTTATCCCGAACATTCGCATTTTTGCGTACAGCAACGGAAAAACAAACAAACAAATATGTGGTATCGTGAAGTTTAATAGTAGATACGTTGATGTTTAAACCCGAATCAATGATGGAAATAGGCATACTTCAAGTTGTGAGTTGGTTCACATCACCGTGACCACACTCACCATATTGTGGGTGATGGCGGGTGATCGGGAAGCCAGTTCGAACGCGTTAAGCGTACATCGCGCAATATGGAGACACCGAAATTCGATGATAGGTTTTCTGCCAACGAAATGAGTCTCAACAGATGATCGAGGTGACCCGGTATATCCCCCTTTGTTCTGATTTCAATAGATCGCTGGCTAACACGAAGAATCAGACAAAACTATTGTGACAACAGGACTAAAACACTGAATTGGTTTAATAAAGTGAGGAAATGCTATTTGCGAAATCGCAGTGACGTTTAATGTCTCAACTCAAATTCAGCAAGCTGTTGCTGCGCATCATCATCTTAGTCGATGATGCAACGGTTGCTAAGGGACAGCCCTCCGTATTTCACCCGTTGCTATCCTCCAGCATCAGCATCAATTTTCTCACTGAGTTCTCTCATGAAATTCTCTTCTGCTCAGTTGTCATCGAGTTAGCCATGCATAACAAAGAAGCCTGTCAGTTTTACTAACGCCTACAGTCATCCCACCGAATCCCTCATATCATATGAAGCTTGGTAAAATGGAAAGTGTAAAACTACGGTGGTGCTTTGCTCGTAAGCGTTTTTTTTTTCCATTTCAGCGGTAGCAGCTACGCAGTGTGCCGCGAAGGATGCGGTCGCTGTACATCGGAAAACTCAATAAAGACGAAAGAAATCTACACGGACTGCTAAGTAAAGGGAGCAAATCGTTTTCGATGTGGTGTGTTGGAGTTACAGCAATTAGTTAGCGCAACACGGATACTTATGGACACTAACCAGCCGTGACGCGCACTCTATTTCATACTGCCATTGCTCGAATTCCCACTGGCCCCATATCCATAGCGTCAAACACGTTAATGAAGTCAGCACACAGTGGGAAAATGAAACTATTTGATCCGCCATCATTGCGTCGCACGCCGCATACGGAGTTTATCTGGCAGTCAATTGGAGTAGCCTCACCTGGGACCGGGACTTATACGATGAGAACGGAAAAACTGCCCTCCGGCCCGTCGACAAATTTAAATAGTATCTTCCCGCCCTAAGCAAATATGAAAAAAAAAAATAATAAACGAGAACACGAACACTTGGTCTGGTCATCAACGACGTTGCCTTTCGTTATATATGTGAAATGAACATATCGAAACAATCTGCCAGTGCAACAGCGAGTCATTGCGCTCCATTCTGGGATCGTTTATTCCCTTGTGACTGTGGTTGCCGGGAAATTTATTGTCAATGGCTGTCGCTAACTGACGTGATCATAACAGAGAGCCAAGAAACCCGGAATGTTTCGTATTTTTTGCACTACTTTTACACAGCCGATAAACGAAATCGCGATGAACAACGTGCGTCGGGCTGGGTGTCTTTTAAAACTTACGCGGCATCGCCTCGATTTTTCAGAGTCGCCTGTCACCGCGAAGAGAGAACTCTGAAAATGTGCCCAGATAATCGTGAATCAAATTGATTTATAGGGAATGCTAGTAGTCACTGTGTAGCGAAACGGCCATAGGTAACGATTATAGACGGCCAATCAATTAGAAGTTATCGCTCTATTCGCAAGCTAAGCAAACAACATTACTTGATAAACATTTTGCGTCGGTAAACAAAGATGTCTTGACGTTTAAGTGAATAATCATAATTATTGGGACACCAGTTACATTTTTAATTGAAATCAAAACTCGTAATCAGGATGATTCAACTTGAAAATGACTTAACTTTTAAAAACATGTTATCGACTCATTTGTTGTATGGCTTTGGTTGACACAGGCCAGATTGAATAAAGTCATTTCCGAAAACAGTTTGATGTTCGTTTCCGAGTCCACGTGTCACACCAATAAAACTGTGTACTCTATTAGCCCCACTCAATAATCGTGACGTTTCTACGCAGCGGCGACTTTTTTAATATTAAAATGACCCCAAAGTCACT